ATAAAGTCAGAAAGCTGCTTGCTGGACTACCCCCTTTGCTTGAATGACTTTTTTGTGTTTTCAATACCTTTGAATAAGGGATTTTGTAAAGAAAGTGTGCAATGACGTTTGGAAACTTTTGGAAAGCTTAAAGACTAAAGAGCTTAGGTAAGTAAAGCAAATCAAAAGGAAAAGAACGGGAATGAATACAAGTTTACTTAAAGCAACATATTGTTTAAGCCTGAAATCTCTGGACATTATTCTAGGGGCCCCCCTAAATAATGTCAGAAAGCTGCTTGCTGGACTACCCCCTTTGCTTGAATGATTTGTTGTGTTTTTTTCAATACATTCGAAAGGGATTTTGTAAAGAACGTGTGCAATGACTTTTGGAAACTGTTGGAAAGCTTAAAGACTAAAGAGCTTAGGTAAGTAAAGCAAATCAAAAGGGAAAAAGTAAACTATAACAATAAAAAATATCCCACTACAACTACCCCTCCCCAAAAAAACGACATTATTCTGGGGGCCTTTATTAATCTGTGCAGGGAAAAGAGTCATTCTTCTGGGGTACTTTATTAATCCAAGGAAAGCATTAGTAGTAGTAGTAGTAGTAGTGGTGGGAGTGATAGTGGTAGTGGTAGTGGTTGTAGGAGTAGGAGTAGGAGTAGGTAGGAGTAGGAGTACTAGTAGTAGCAGTAGTAGAAGTAGGTGGCGGTGGTGGTCCTAGTAGTAGTAGTAGTAGTAGTAGCAATGCACGGTCGTTCTTATATCTCGTCTCAACTATAGTAACATGATGTAACATTGTCCTTTTTGTGGAACAAGAGGTGGTGGGGTGTATGCGTGTTGGAAAGAGTCGTGAGAAGCAATGCAAGGACAAAAAAAAACGTGTTTCAAGTGATGTCACTTTAAGAACATACACAAAATCCAGGGCTTCTTGCAACGTCTCAAACAAGGCAACATCTCTGGAATGCTAATTTGATCTCTAACATCCTGTCAGAAACAGCCACCCATTGACATGCACTTGGTGTGTCCAACATTCCTGTTTTGCATTATTCGACCACTCCCCATGCGATTCAATCATGTCGTGTAAACTCCAAGAGGTCTTAACTGAAAGTGCTTTGAGGTCCGGGTGCTGGGGCAAAGATCCACCTTTTCAAGGGGACCTTTGACTCAGGTCGTTGGTTGGCCGTTGGTCGGTGGTGAGCAAGCCACGTTAGAGCATATGGCCCGCATCAGGCGGCCACACTATCTGATCGGTATAACTGCGAATCGCGGGGCTTGATGGCCCGCCTGGGTGACAAGTCCTGCTGCTGAGTCCTTGGGGCCTAGCAGTTGAGGCTTAGCATCCATAAAGAAATCAACTGAGTGGAGCTAGCGGGTGACCCGGGTCCACACGTCCCACGTCCTTCGCCCGAAGCGAAAAATGCTCCGCAAATCCAGCGACGCGGTGCCCGCAGCTCGGGCACGTGTAGAGGCGATGACCGCCTCAGCGGCGATCACCAGGAAGTCAGCCAAGGAGACCTGCAAGTCATGGAGATCAGCCAAGAGATGGAGAGAATCATGATCATTATATATAATTAGGAATTGATAGAGATGCAAGAGACCCATGCAAATCGAGGGACGGAGAGAGAATCATATGAGTGCAAAGCCATTTTCAGTGTCCTCATGAGAGAGAACAAAAGGACATGGTAATCAAATCGGAGTCTGTATATAGGTTCCAAAAAGGTGTTTACGGTGTTACATGGTAATCAAATGGATGTATATATATATATATTCATACAGGTTCCAAAAGGGTGTTTACCCAGTGAGATCTTGAGACCTTAGGTAGTGGGTGCACCGGTGTGGCCCTACCTGAGTGCAGAACTGCTGATAGACCTCCTGCAGTGAGCTGCCGTGCTCGCCGGAGGCCAGGCACGCGGGCAAGCCCGCATTCTCTGGATCCTCCATGTCCGTGCAGGCATCCGAGCCACCCTGCCCGTTGGCGAAGTCCTCAGCAAACACAACTGCAGGTGAGGTGGGGGCAGTCTCAAAAACTCTTTTCTTATTCTGGGGCGCTCAGTTGCCAATGAGTCATAATTATACTCAAAATGTAGCAGTTTGTCTAGAGACAGCCTAATTTGAGTAGACGTGAGGACCAGGACCATGCACATCTGAGCAAGTATCAAAATCCCTCATAACGACCAGTAGGTAGGTACCAAGTATAGCGCGAAAAGGACATAACAAACTATAACATAGTCTTATTCCTATCAGCCCCCCAAAAAGAACAAACAAACACTTCCTGACACCACGACCTCAGGCTCCATAAAGTCATGTCCTGCCATCCGTAGCACACAACCTGCCCAGTCCGCCTGGGGACAATCTGAAGCTGTGCAAGTGCTTGGGAGCGATTCCAACTTCCCCCGCACGGCTGCCACGACGGCATCATACTGTGATGAAGTCATACATTCAGTGACTTCAACGGCACCTGGGCATGCCAACAGCTTTGCAGGAGTGGCATTAAATGCCTGGCCATTGACGATTGCCTCACATCTCATTGCGAAGGCGAGGAGACTCAACAACACTGCTCCATTCGCCATCTTGTGCCCCTGTTTGGACTCCTGTCACTACAGCTTTATGGAACCAAAATGGTCTCAAGAAGATTGTCTTCAAAAAGCCTGAAGGCTTCAACTTCAAAAACAAAGAGTCCCATATGGTGCAACAAAGAACCTATAGTTTAGCTTGAGATTGTGAAGAATTATTAAGAACTCTTCAAGCAAACAAGGATTGACAAGCAACTCGTTGGACGCTTTGTGACCGACGCATCACCGCTGGACCGAGGAGAGTTACTGACAGGCCAACTGTAACTTCCAAAGCCCTGAGTTTTGGAAGATCTGAAGCCACTGTGACTTCTCACCGTGGCATGACGGACCAAGGACCCACCAGTTGAGTCACCTTTCATATCTTTCGTCATCTTTCGTCTGCTACCTGGCAAATGATCGAAACAGCCCATGTCGCACAAATCTCACCTTGAAACTCTTCCAACCGCACGACCGGGCATCGGCTCCGACACGCGATGGCGACCGGACATTCCAGGCCTACGAGCTCCTCTTCTTCGCTCTGGGGCCGCGAGGGGCTCGGGCGCTGCTTCGGGCTGTAGAGCCCCACCGCCTGGGAGGGAGGTGATCTTTGGGAGCCGCGGGATCCGGATTTAGAAGGGAAGGAAAGGGTCTATAATTCTATACGAGTTTGGGAGCTTTCTCCCCGGACCTGATCTACTTGGGCTTGAGGCTCTGCCGAGGCGGATTTCGCACAAAGAATCCTTCAGCTGCCAAGCTTTCGGGTATACGGTATACTACTTCATTTAAAACGACCACGTTCACTGGTAGATTGAGGTGGCTCTGTCCGTTGAAACATGTTGAAGCTCAAAAGGGTTCTCGCAAAGCCTGAAACGCCAAAGGTAAAGCTGCCTGCACAAGATTCAGGCTATCTTTTACATAACCCAAATTAATGGCACCTGTTGAAGTCCAACATGTGACATTGAGCACCCACCAAGTTCCCACATTCCCCACATGTTCGCCTCTGGCCAGCAGGTGTGAATGCCTCCGGTCAGCGGATTATGTGGCTTATTCCGAAATAGAATGTGTATATATTAGATTCGATATATGTTTAATGCACAACTACAAGATTTCATGGGGAACCCGCAAAACCAATTGTTAGCCATAGTCTTTTGTGTGTGTGTGTATTGGTTGCGTGTTTGTTCTTTCTTTCTTTCGTTTTTGTTTTTATTCCTTTCCTTCCTTCCTTCCTTTCTTTGTTGCTTTCTTTCTTTCTTGTCGTTTTCCTTTTAAACATCTGTCTCTCTCTCAGCTATCCTTTTATCGTAGACTATTCCTTGATTCTAGGGGAATGCAGTATCCACAGGCACCCCTCGTTTGCACACACTTTCTGCCCATATGCTTCTTGTGGGCAGGTCTGCTTTTAGTCGCTCAATGCGGGAGCTACATCACCATACGATACCTGATTGACCAAGGAGTAGGCCAGCGGAGTTCGTTCCAAGCAATCCACCACACCCAGGAAAAAGCAAAGGAGTCCCCCAAATAGTCCAAATGCCTGTCACCCAAATACCTGTGCACCTCGTTTTTGGGGGACCGACCGGTCACCATCGGTCACCATCGGTCACCTGGGTCCCGCACGACCCGGCTCGGCCACACCTGGCGTTGTAGAGGAAAATCGTCTTCCAAACGTCCATGATCGGGTTCCATCTTAATCTTCCTTTGACTCTTCGTTTCTGGTCCTCTCTATATCTCTATCACACTCTCTCTCGCTCCAGGGATGTTGTTGCGGCGTAAATCTACAGCAATCTGATACTAGAGAGAGAGAGAGAGAGACAAGCAAAAGCCTGCACTGCCAGCCGCCAGTCCTATATAGCGGTTAATTGAATTAAGTAAACATATTAAGTAATATTTCCGATATCGTCCGCCTGACACTGAGACCAAACGACCATGGGTCCGGCCATGCAGCCTCCAAGGACTGCGCAACGCAAGGGAGGCTCCTCTGGCACGCCCATGGGTTGAGAGCATCCAGCCTGGAGAGGTCCACATTTGGAATTGACCTCCCTGCTTGTCTCTGTTCTGTTCATTTTCCGTAATTCACCTATAGGACCCCCGGTTTTAGGGCCCACAGCTGAGCTGATCTTTGGAGAATCCCCACCCAGCTCCGAAGCTGCAACTACGAAGTGTAGCTGATGTCAAAGCCATGCCAAAACCATCAAAACCCCCATGTGAGTCCGATGAAGGACCCACACACGGACCGCCTCTCCAGCTGCCTCGCCATCTTTGGCCCGGATCCTGGTTTCGGCATGTTTCGGCAACTTGCCGGAGAGACGTGCTTTGCACAGACAGGCGGTTTGTTAAGAGTCCCGACATGGGTTCCGCGGGAATGGAGAACAATCCGGAACTTTTCGCGCCATACACTATAGGTGCTCCAATACAATCAATATGGTTGGTGACTGGCGCACTCGGGAATCAACAGCTACAAGTCGCCTCTCCATGTCATGCTGATGCAAAGCCCTCATGAGATCTGGTGTTTCTCCTGGCCAAAACGCGCAGCTGCCATGGCCACGTCTCCTGCAAGGGCGGGTGCGCAAAAAATGTTAACAGTCAACCAAGGTCGCAGCACACCGCCTGCTTGTTTGGGCAACGCGTATGCGTTTTCATCTGGATACATTTTCAGGAACCCTGGTGCATCATGAATGAACAGTTCTAGGTCCTGGGTGAAATTCCGAGAATGATCATTCCACTTTGGCCCGGACACCACTCAGCACCACCAACAACCTGCGAAGACTGTCCGAGCAGCCCCCGTACGCCTGTGGAGCAGCATTCTGCAGCACGCAGAACAGCTCCTGCCGCGACTCGGCACCTGAAAGGCTGAGAGAAGCAAGCACCTCAGAAGGGCACAGCGCTGCTGAGGCGTTGTTCCTAGTCCTAGTCGCGAGCATCTCGCAGCTGCGGCTAGAACTAGTGTCCTGTGACACCGCCCAAGTTCAGCCAATGCCAGGAGCCAGGAAAAGAATTATTAATTTATACCGTGAACCCGTGTTTGGTCGCAACTTTCCTCCAGTTCGGTCTTTGACTTCATAGCTTCTGGTCATAACCTGTCGGAGGGAGCTGGTGGATTCTCAATTTGTTCAAACAAGATCTCGACGTTTGGCTCCCGAGCCACCTGACCAAAAGGCAAACAAGTGGCTGGACCCTGCCAAATGGTGAAACCTGCCTGCTACATGTGAAACATATAGGAATGAAGAAGGTCAGGGAAAATATCGAATGATATAGAATTCACCACAGGGTCCCTGTCATTCTGTGATCGGCTTTCACTGATCACCTCAGTCTGTTCTTCTTGTCCCTGTCATGCGCTGCATCCGAGGCGCATAGCCACCCAGCGTGGTCTTCGAGCGGCCGATCTCCCGGCGCAGCACCTGAGGTTGGCCCCGAGGGCGGCCCTGGAGTGAGGTGTCGAACGGGGAAAACCCACCGTGTGGAGCGATCGGACGGCTACGAGGGCACTAGGGGCTCCTGACCTTACTACGACCGGAACAGGACGCGACTCCAACGGAGCCTTTCGGGCATCGCGACTCGAATGGAGCCACCGCGCTAGTTACCCCAAAGCATACCGGGACCCATCCTGTCTGGGTGTCCTGGCTGGCCTACCCTACACTACTTAGGGATCTCCAGGCAGGACAACCATTGGATGGTATGTGTCCTTTTTTGTTGGCGGGGCCGGGGGTTGCTAAGTACTTCGAGGGCAGTACTTGCCTACTTATGCTGTTTTCAAATCAAATCAAGTGCATTGTTTGAAGGGATTGGACATTGATCCCTTAAAACATGAGGCTTGAAGCAGTGGGAGCATTGCTGGGTGTGTAGGCCAGGTACATGCCCAAGTGGAGGTGGCAAATGCGCACAATTACAATGTAAACTTAAATGCACCAACCACAACAAACGCGTAACGATTGTTGATCTCTCTATGCTATGGTCACCCGAGCTATCTTTCAGCGGCAATGCAATCGACATCATTCGAGCGCTTGAAAACGATCAGTGTCAAACAAAAGAGATTAAAGCGATCAACCAAAAAGATACAAAAAGCAACGGCCAGCAGGGTTTTCTTCCCAACCCGGTTGCAGCCTCAACTGCAGGCAAACCCCCCAGTTGCCGTTGATCATCCATCCAAACGAAAAGAGGCAACTTAAGACAAATGAGTGACTGGCACGTGGCTTGTTTCCACAGCCCGCCTCTTCTTCCCATTTCCTCCACCCAACGGCTCCCGTGACGTGGCGGCACCCCCTCTGCCAAGCGCTGGGGAGCGGAGGGCCTCCGCTCGGGTTCTTCCTGTGGGTGCGGGGACGGGAGTGGAACAAAGCTAGCCTTCCCCACAGCAAACATAGCCGTCATGTGGTGGAATGTAGACAATCGTCTTCCAAACTCTTCTGTGCATAGTATAGCTGAACTAGCTGATTTAGAGGGCAGCGATGTACGATTCTGGTCAGAATAATATTGCCAGGACCGCACTTGTGAAGCACAAAGCCGCAACTGCCAAATGCTTCACTGACAATGCTTGGCAGATTGCTGTGGCACAAACTGAGCGTGCTCAGAATAGCAAAGCCAGGTGAAGGTCTTGAATGTGTTTCTCCCTCTAAGACTCCAAGGCAAGATGTCGCGTTTCGGTCTTTCAGGGTCGCCACGCGAAAACGGCCCCGCGCCACATCTCGGGCCGCCTGGCGAACGAAGACGGTCAAGGCCACTTTGGGACGCGGAGCGTCCTGCGCCGTTCCGCGAGCGGAAATTGGACTTGGAGATGAACGGACAGTGTCGTTGGAACTTGAGAGATTGGGAGTGAGAGGACAACTGGCCTTGAAAGACTGAGGGATACTTGGGAGACTGGTGATTGGTTCGTTGCGGTGGAGCGAATG